AAACTATCACTTCTACCTCTTCTTAAAGTCAATAAAGAGTTCTTTTACTGATGGCATGAAGTTGGCTTTAATGTTAGTTGTAAGATCTTGGGGTTGTTACAGCTTCACCTTGATCACAAACTACGCCACCGTCGAACTAAAACATAACATAAAATCCAATGAGATAGTAAGACGAGTGAAATAAAGACATAAAATGATCTATATAACATACAAACATACCTCGCTGGCTGACCCATGCTTTGAGGCAGAAATGAGCACTTTACAGATACTTTTAAGAAACAACTTTCTCTGAATTAAATTGGCTTCTCTTGCTTCAACTTGCCATGCTCACACATCAACATGGGCGTGCATCTCCCTCAGGTGCACCAGTGGAACCAACATGCAGTACAATAGTTCCTACATGAGAATTTTCACAATAAATGACCTAATGGCATATAAAATATGCATAGTGAAAAACAAAATACATTGACTGAAAGTAAGGCAGTAAAAAAAACAATAATAACAGTTGCAGTGTTTTGGTTCTACAACATTTTCTATCATTACTTTACCATGGACTAGGTGCAAAAGTTGTTAAGTGTAGATAATTAAATAATAGATTAATGCGATATTAAATTGTGTGTTGTTCTCAGATAAACAGCAAGTGGAGGGTGATAGTTCAGATGAGGAGATGGAAGGAGGAAGCGAGGCAAAGCCTGAGTCACAGACAGAGCCTAGAGAGAATGTAGAGGAAAGGGCAAGCCAGGAGAAAGAGACTGGAGTGAGAAAGTCAGAGAGTGAGACAGAGCTTAGAGAGTAGAAGAGTGAAGCCATAGAAAGGACATTCTCAAACCTACTTGGACACACCCAACTGATCCTGCCTATGTCATACAATTCCACATACAGTATGATGAGGCCTTTATTCAAATGTGTGACAATATTGGACCCTGCCAACCAGTACTGTCATCATATCCAAAGAATGAAGAGGGACGATCGTTTCAAAAGAAGTGGTATGAGAATAATCCATGGCTAGAGTATTCTCCAAGTGCTGATGCCATGTTTTGTTTCAGCTGCCGTCTTTTCTTAAATGATGAAAAGTACACAAGTCACAAAACCTGGAAAACGGAAGGGTTCAGTCGGTGGAGAAGGGCTTTAGAAAGGATTAAAGAGCACATATGTCTTGTTTTATAGACATCACTCTTTACCTGGCAAGACAGGGTATGCCTTTCAGGGGAGATGATGAGACCTTGTCAAGTCAAAATCAAGGAAATTTCTCAGAGTTAGTTGAGTTGTTCAGCAAGTATGGCAGTGTAATTAAATTACACCTTAATGCCATAAAAGAGCGACAGGGAGCTGGAAAAATACCTCTCGTTTCGCTTCTCTCTAACAGAAGTCAGAACAAAGTCAGAATCAAAGTTTTGGCCACATCAGTAAGACGTGTCATCCAAGCAGAAATGCAATAATCTGAAGATTGACAACATCTGGGGTCAAGGTTATGATGGGGCTGTCAGACACTAGGTGAGCCTGCAGAGAAGCTGCCCTCAAGACAATGAGGAAGATCCTCCCAGCTGAAATACTACAGCAAGATCCTCCAGACTCTTCAGCAGGTGATGCAATGATCCTTCTCAAAAACATCAGTTTTGAATTCATCCTGTGTCTGGAGATCACCTGTCCCATCTTCCAAGTGACTGCTACTGCATCTGATGCATTGCAGAAGAAAGACTTTGACCTGGCTGCAGCATACAAGATTGTTGATGATGTTTTGCAGAGCCTGGAACACAGTAAAACAGAGGAAGAGTTTGAGAAAATTTATGAACAGGCTAGAGAGAAGACGGCATCAGTGGGCCTGGACACTCCATCTGAGGTCCCTGGACAAGCTCGGAGGAGGAAAGTGCCAGCAAAGTTTAAGTTTGCTGCCACAACAGCTACTGCTGATGACCATGCTTTCACAACTCCCCAAGCATACTACTGTGTTAAAGAGTTCTGTGTTTTTGTTGACACAATGACACAGGAGCTTCTGAGACACGTTAGGAGGAGGAGATAATTCCACATGGGAAATCTTGAATGCCTTGCATACCCTGACAGTCCCAGAGAACTGGAAAAAAAAACCACCAGTCAGTGTGGCATCCATTCTTTCAGTGGTCAAAGAAAACAATGCACATCTGATCTTCCCCAACATGACTGAGCTGCTGAAGACATATGGAACACTCCCAGTGTCCACAGCAACTGGGGAGCATTCTTTCTCAAAACTAAAACTAGTTAAAAACAAACTGCACCCTTTGCTCAGAGGAGAGGTTGTCAGACCTTCTTTCATTGGCAGTTGAGAAGGATGTTCCAGTCAACCACAGTGATGTCATTGACATTTTTTGGGACATGGCAAACAGAAAGTTACTGTTATCATTTGGGACAGGACATGAAAAGCATCTTATTTCTTCCCGCTCTTTCCAAAACATACCCTGTGTTTGTTTTTGTTTTCTGATTAATAAAATGTTTGATTTATCCTCCTGTTGGTTTATTTTCTTTACTGTTGTAGTGTTAATTTTAATATTTGAAAGAAAGAAAGAAAGAAAGAAAGAAAGAAAGAAAGAAAGAAAGAAAGAAAGAAAGAAAGAAAGAAGATTTTATGGTTCTACAATCTAATCCTTCCCATGGTAAAGTTGATGGTGTGATGTTCTGTGCTCTGTGATGTTTAGAAGGTGTTAACAGGACTCACACACTGTATGTATAGATTTTTTTTTAATACATGTTCACCCTACCATGACCACCCCTGTCTTTTGTACTACTAATATTCTGGTTTCAGTTTATTTCCCAGATTTAAAAAAAAAAAAAAATCTGTTGCCTTATGGTTCCAAGCATTGTCATCAATCTTTTTATATTTTATTTTTTTTTATCTCAAAGCACTTGTTTACTTAACTACCTATGGACCTTTTAATGTCTAGTTTCCTGTGAACTTTAAAGCTTCACCTGAAATCTGCCTGAGCTCTCAGGAGCCAACATGGAGGACGAGATCTCCTGAACTGAGCTCCTGAGCGGAACTGCTGTATTACCAACATTTATGCCTGCTCTACCACATCAGGCATTTAATGTGTTCCTCCACATTCATCCCACAGCTCCAGGTGTTACCTGTATGCTCTTCTTGACCTCATCTCACTTGTATCATCCTCTCAGACTCGAGTCAGGAGGCTGACACGCCTCTGATCCATTAATCAATTAGGAAATGAAATGAAAACTCATTGAAAAGTAAAATACCCAGAATCACTGAGCGAGGGAGCACAGCATCGAGGGCAGAGGGACACTCACAGCAGATATACGTGCACCGAATAAGAGGACCAGGACGACAGTTGACATGAATCCAGGAAAGAAACACAGGAAGTAAAAGAAAAACTTGTCACCAAAATAAAAGGGGAAGAGCTGATACACACCAACACAGCAGCTTTGCTCTTACAGAAATGGAGATCATCGTTAACAAAGTTCTGAGTGAGCTCCTTGGGCTCTTTCAGTCCCTTTCAGCTCATTTTCTTATTCGTGTGCAGCTCTGAGCGGAAACTAAAGGAAGCAAAGCAGGGGTCACATGATGCGTGCTTTAAAAAGCTGTGATGACAGTTTTAAGAAACTGTGTGAACCATTTCACGGCATCTATCTATGAAGCTACACTACTGTCACAGGAAGCTGCAGACAGCTGTTTCCTCCTGTGGTGGCGGGGTGACTTCACCTGTGACAAGACTCGCCAGTGACTGCGCTGACGTCTCAGACCAAACAGACCTTTAACCTCCTCGCCTCACGCCAGCAGGCTCCTTAATCCACTTCATCACTACTGTGAACTGGTCTCAGTGTCTTCATCGCATCATGTACGAAACACTTTAGATTTTATTAGCAAGAAGCGCCCCCTGCTGCCAGAGGCTCAGCAGTGACTACAGACTTTTGAGATTACATTTCAATTACATTTAATCAATCTATAAACTATATTTAATCTATAATCCATCTATAATCTGTACTTTGTCCATCTACAATGCATATCACCTGTCAGGAAATGATCAGCAACACAGTAAATCAGATGATCAACACAAACTGTAAATAATCTATAACTTCAAAGTTCATCCTAAACTTCATTAATCCCACTGAGCAGTTTTGAATGATTCTGATAAAATTGTTTGTGTCTCCAGTTCATGTGACATAAATAAGTCATATTACCTCTGACCTCTCTGTCAGGTTCAACAGATTGATCTGAAGGTCAGAGTGATGCTGATGCTGTTTAAAACGGTTTCTTGATGGATGCCTTGTCAACATTTAGGAAATTATATGCTGGTATAAGGGGATTATGAATGTCTGATTATGGTGATGTCGTATCTGACCTCTCTTTTACATTTCACATCTGCCTCTCTGGCAAGTTGTCCCCAGCATGCACGACATCTTTCAGAAGTCTTTTTCAGAAATACACTGCAGATTGATCTAATCATCATCCATGTTGTCATTACACATCACAGTGTGATCAAACATTTCTGATTCCTACTTCACTACAAACCTTCTACACTACATTTCGATAAGATAATAATAGAGCGAGCTGAACACTGAAGGTTTATGCTCTCACTGCTTCATGTTCACTCAGTTTTTCATTTTCAAGTTAACCCTTTATTTAAAATACTCATTTACTAATCCCAGCTGAGCTGGAATAAACTAAATTCAAATTTTGATGTAAACAGTCTGATGTATTCTGGTTTTATGTACATCATATTTAGCACCAATAACTTTCATTTTCTTCATTTCTTGATATATTCAGCAGCTGTGGTCCAAAAATAAAACGCTAACACTGTAATTAACCCGTGTGTAATCTGACACATTCATTAATGTGATAACACAGAAACAACCACAGACGTCGGTTAATATTTCAATTGTATAAACTAGGAGCTGACAGTGAATACAGATACACTTCATTCTTTCATCCTCAGTTTGCCATTCTGATGCTGGGTGAGAACTTCACAGCTACACTTCCACGTTCAGGTGGAACAGATGACACAGACAGCGGGTTGACAGGAAGTTAAAGTTTATTGCTGCTCCTGGGAGGTGGGAGGAGTGTAACGTGTGCAGTACAATTGTGTGTGTAAACTGACTGAATGGAAATGTCTGAAGAAATTCTTTGTTCCCCGAACGTGTCTGATCCCGAGTACATGTAACGTGTAAGCAACGACTGATGAGGTCAGCAGGTATGTCAAGTAGAAGAAGGTGGGAAGCAGACAGCGCCGCTTCCTCTGCAGGAGGAAGAGGAGGCAGGTCAGTGGGGGAGCTCATGGGGAACCAGCTTGTAGTGGGCGCCGCAGGACGGGCAGCGCTGGGCCTCACCCTCATGGAGCCAGAACCAGACCACGGCTGTGTTGTCCTCCTCACCTGCACACAGGAAACTGGGTGAGAACCCTAACCTGCAGCTCACATGCATGCTCAGGTTTCCCAGTGAAGAATAAGCCCCACCCCCTTTAAGCCCGGAGGCGAGTTTAACCCTCGTCTGAGAAAGCTGCCGCTGCTCACATACGCGCTTTCACACAGGAAACAACAACTCACACACGCATCCCACAATCCTCTTGTTCGTGATGGAGGGAACCAGGTGGGGGTCGGCCTTGGAGCCTGCATAGTGCTTTGGCTTCATCATGTTGAAGGGGTCCTACAGGAGGGGGAGGAGTCAGATGAGTCGGGGCGTGACAGTATTCAACATCAGTTTCACCTCAAAGTTTATCTTTCATCATCTTCATGTGCAGGAGGAGGACAGCTTAGGCTACGTTCACACTGCAGGTCTTAATGCTCAATTCTGGTTTTTTGATCAAATCCGATTTTTTTGTCTGCTCGTTCACACTACAAATAAAATGTGACAGCAAACTGGCTCTAGTGTGAACCCTCAAAGCGGCCCGCATGCGTAAAAGAAGAGGTCACACACAACGCGCTCTGTATAGACCCAGACCCAACAGTACTGTTTGACTGATGGCCATTAATATAAAGACCTGTTTCGGACTTTACGTTTCCCAAATTTTCTTTAAGTCATACAGTTGTTTTGTTATTTACATATGGCCTAATAATTATCCTTATTGCTGTTTAAGAGAGGAGCTGTACTTCAAAGGATAGCTGCAGATTTCTGTCAGAATCTGACGCCTGCAGTGTGAACGTAGCCTGAGATACCCTGAGACCCGTCAGGTCAAACGGGGCTGAATGAACTCAACGATCTTACCTCGCCGTGCTTCATGGCCTTCATGATGACTTTCTCCAGCCCTGTGGCCTGCTCTTCATCAGTGGGAATCCCTGTGAACACAAAATCAGCTTTCATCTTCACCTCATCTTCATTCATACACATAACCCAATACTTTGTTTAAAAGAAAAACAGGATATTTAAAAAAAAAAAAGTTTACATTTACGTCGTTTCACAAGATACTGACAAAAATGAGAAATAAAGCATCAAACGTTCCTCACAGCATGCCAAGAAAACCATTAAAGGCTGGTGGAGAAAATTCAGATTATACTTTACTTATGAGGAAAAATTCAAAGTTTAAATGTTTCTGCTTTATTTTATTTAGAAAATAATAACATACTTTATTGTTCATTTTGATCTGAGTTTACAGTAAGCTCATGCTGCTGCACACACACAGGTGGAAAAACACATGGCTGTCTGCAGACTTCATGCTCTGAAACACAATGACTTCTTTAAACATCTTGATGCATGCTCAATCATCCAGGTAAGTAAATCCCCAGAGTTTGATTCTGTTCATCTGGACGTAGCGTTTTCAGTGGGAGAAACGTTTAGTCACTCATCCAAGTGCATTTGCATAATGACCGTTTCAGTCGTCATCTCACAATGTGAGATTCTGTCTTCGGGTGAAAGTTTACTTTGTTTTTTGGTCATTTATTAAAATCATCAAAGAGCAGATTTTTTCCGAATAAAAGATCAACAAATAATCAACCAGATTAGATAATTATAACCAGAGAAAATATTCATTACTATCCGAAAGCAGTAATGTAATCGATTAACCGAGCGTTTTGTGTAATTGAATAATTGTCTTTAATTAACTGTTAAATTGAACTCTGACCTCCCGAAGGTAACAAACTGCTAACGCTGCTAAGCTATTAACAGCCAATTGTCTTATTTCCGGTGTTCCGTCCCTTAAAGTGTGCCGATCTGAACATGGGTTTATTAAAATCTACTGATTGGACCGTTTAATCGTTTTAAAATGAGCCGATCCATCATTTATATTTGTTCTGAATGAAGTCTTGTCTGAGCGGCGCTGTCACCGGGACAGGAAGCGATTGGCGTTCTCAGTCTTCCCCGCGGATTAAACCCTCTCTAAGCCGCCTGTTCCCGCCGAGTTCCAGGTGTTCTGTGCCGGCTCGTGGCTCACCTCCTGCTGCCATGCTGCGGCTCAGAGCGGGGGTCCGGACGGAGCGGCAAGCCGCCGCGGCTCTGACGGCGGAGCGGAGCAGTAACCTTGCAGCCATTTCTCCTTCTTCAGCGATTACTTAGGTCGATCGGTGATGACGTCATATTTGTGGACAGGTTCTTCTTCTTCTTTGTTTATTGGCAGCTTTGAGGTGCACTAGCGCCACCTGTGGATCTCCAGATTCAGGAGGTTACAATATGTGACATCAGCATCAGTTCATAATGTGACGTGTGAATGAAAACAAACGCTGTTGTGACAGTGATGTAAACAGTCTTGTTGGTATATATGTGTGATTTCTATACATTTTACATCAGATGAAAACTTTAGTTGTAAGATCCAGATTATTTATTAAAAGCTAGACATTTTAAATGAGATGGCGCCGAGTATGGCAGCCTCGTCGCGAGCTCCCCCAAGCAACAGCTTTTTTCTGTGTTTAATTTTACTTTTCCTTCATTTTTTC